TTTTTTTTTACCATTTGTTGGGCAGTGAATGTACCCAATCGTCTAAACACTGACAAAGCTTTGACCATGACAATCTTACAGAAGTACAGTACAAAATGACATTGTGTGCAACTCTCCACTTTAACAACTACAAACGTTTGACTTTCTCTGTCGCTCATGTGTAGAGTGAACCGCTGTATGTTCCAGTGAAGTTCCAGGACGTACCTGCTGAGCACTCTAATTGTCTGATCGGAGACTGTGAATCTTGTGAGTACACAGTTGATGTTGTCAGTTCAAAAAAAACATTGAGCATAAAATAGTTTTCCCCACATGAATTAACAAAGACCACAGTTGTATGCTGTAGCGTTTGACTGATATCTGATTAATAACCTCATGAATTTGGTATTAATGAAAAGTAACGTTTCAACAACAGAGGGCAGTGGTGAGCTATGGAAATAGATCAAATCATTGTTTAAAGCCAATATGAAAGAAATCAGATATTTAACAAGAGAAACCTCTTTCTGACCTATTAGGCCACCACAGACTCAGTTCTCTCTTTTCTCTATTCTTTCTTTCACATACCATCATAATAAGAACAATAGTTTGAACAAAAAGGATTTCACAGAACAAAGGAGAAATCTCTTGATCTTTTGGCTTTTCCATACTTTTTAGTGACTCAGTTCAGACGAGCTAGAACTTGGCTCAATTTCCTTAGTGGACGGATGTATCCAAAGAGTCTCAAAATTATATTACATTTTTTTGTGTTTGGACATTTAATTAAAACCATGCCTCCGTCAATTCACTCCTCTCTCCATTCCTCTCAGCAGCTTCCAAAAAGCAGCGGGTGCGTTTTAGTAATATCATGGAGGTGCGTCAGCTGCCCTCTACTCAAGCCCTGGAGGCCAAACTGTCCCGCATGTCCTACCCAGCTGCCAAGGACCATGAGGCCATGTTACGCACAGTGGGCAAGCTCACTATCACCGACGTGGCCAAAATCAGCTTCTTCTTCTGCTTTGTGGTGAGTAAAAGCCAGCTTTTTTGTTTTACGTTGCCGTACCAAACTATAGACATGATGCATAGTAACAATGTATAATTGATAAGACACTCACTTTTTTCTTTTTGTGTTATTTGGTAGAAAGCAACAAATGTGTTTATCTGATACGTTGCTGTTGGCACAGAGGCAAGTGAGCAGAAAGTGACGCAAGACTGCGAGTCATTCATCATTTAGCCTTTCAAGTGATGAACTGCTTTTAATTTGTGACTCATCCCGTCTCAGCAAAGTCATGAACATCTGGGAAATGTTAAAGCAGAGTATTTGACATGGGCCTTAAAGACCCTCGGGAATTATACTCCCAAGTTTTATACACAAGTGATTAGAGATTATGTTAAGCTTCTTTCCTACTATGATTTTTATATATAATTGACATCTATCAACCATATAAAAAGAGGAACACTGACCTCATGTTATAATACAATCCAACAACTCGGAAAATACAAGTTCTGGGTTGTTTTTATGCCGCTGTGTCAGAGATGTGTTACATTCTAAATGAGGCTTTGTGTTATTGAATTGTAAGATGTTCCTGTTTACTTCGTCCACCTTCTAATAGGTCTGCAGCGGTTGTGACTATTCTGACTCAATTCTGACAGGTTTTCTCTTTTTTATAAGTATTTTTGATATGTTATGCCATTATTAGATAGAGGGATAGATGACAGGAAACAAGTGAGAGAGAGAGAGAGAGAGAGGGCTGCAACAAAAGGGACAATGAGATTCACCGTTGGAGGTTTTAACCCCTCATCCAAGGGGTCACATCTTGGCCCTCTTTCATGCCAAGTTCACACTACAACACTGGCTTTCTTGTAATTGAGAGTCTTTAAGTAGATGTGGTTTTCACACTACATAACTGACCGGAGACAGAGGGTCACACTCTACAAGATCTTTCCCCGATGAGCTGACCCGTGTCTCGCGCTTTTATTGGCCGAAGCTCCCCGACAGGTCCAGATATTTAGCCTGCTAGACATCTGGAGTTCAACACATAGCGCTCGAGCACTGACGATTTGTCTCTTGTCTGGGGCTTTGGCCTGGGAGCTCCAAAAACTGTCGGCGAGCAGGTCATGTATTGTGAACTAGGCATTTGAATGTGTAAAAGTTAAGACTGAGAATTACTTTATGGGACAACAAACTACAAAGGCGTCAGAGATTGCACAGTGAATGGAGTTAAAATGACAGTAAACCCGGCTTCGTCAGGTACGTTGGAGAGTATTTACCACAGCGCTGTTGTACAGTGGTGTAATAAATATCACGTCACTGCTTCCGTTTCTCTTCCAGTGGTTCCTGGCTAACCTGTCCTATCAAGAAGCCCTGTCTGACACGCAGGTTGCCATTGTCAACATCCTGTCATCCACCTCAGGTGACTCTTTCTCTCTCTGTTGAATTTCATGATAATACATGGTATGTTGGTAACAGGTTTAATGGAAAATGTGCGTTGGTTAGGTTGCGATTCACCTCTGTTCATCTTGAGCCCCTTGAGGCAGATTTGTGATATTGGTCTGTATATTTGAAACTGACTGGACTTGACTCTCTCGTCTTCAGGCCTGTTCACGCTCGTCTTAGCAGCCATATTTCCCAGCAACAGCAGCGACCGTTTCACCTTGTCCAAACTGTTAGCTGTGGCTCTGAGGTAAGGGCTGAATGGATGTGGTGGCAGTAGAGTTGACAAAGGCACGTTGGTAGGTTACAGTGCTGAAAGTGGATATATTACTTTAGTGTAGTTTCGCCTCTTTTGCTCTCCACTCTGACTGTTTACCTACATTCAACCAAAGCCTTCTCCAATGTGATTGGTTAATATTACTCCGACTACAGACGGAAACCAGAGAGCTTCTGACACCAAAATCATGTCCCGTTACCGACAGATTCTACATATGAATGCAGAATCTGTTTGTATCGATTAATAACTCCTGGCATCCCTGATACATATTTCATATTTTTTTCCTAAGGCACCTATTTCAACTATGTTATTTAAAATTATCTGTTTACATGTTGATCACAAGTCGGATGATTCCTTTTTGTTTCTGAGGCTCTGATCGTAGCAGAATTGTCACAATGTTGTTGATTTCATCCGAAACTCTGTTATTGCAGCACTGAGCCAATATATAAACGGATGCAAAATAAAAAAGATAAGTTCATATATTATTAAGAAAGCTGTGAGGTTTGAGGAACAGCTAAAGAGTTTAGATCTGCTGATCTTAGGGGCCTGGTTGGACTGTAAGGAGTTAAACATTATTTAATATAATATAATCCATCCATCCATCCATTTTCCTGCCCTTATCCGGGGTCGGGTCGCGGTGGCAACAGGCCAAGCAGACCGACCCAGACCTCCCTCTCACCGGCAACATGTTCCAGCTCATTCTGGGGGATCCCGAGGCGTTCCCAGGCCAGCTGGGAGATGTAATCTCTCCAGCGTGTTCTGGGTCTTCCCCGGGGTCTCTTCCCAGTTGGACGTGCCTGGAAAACCTCCAGTGGGAGGCGTCCAGGAGGCATCCTAATTAGATGCCCGAACCACCTCAGCTGACTCCTTTCGACGCGAAGGAGTAGCGGCTCGACTCCAAGCTCCCTCCTGATGGCCGAGCTCCTTACCCTATCTCTAAGGCTGAGCCCGGCCACCCTATGGAGGAAACTCATTTCGGCCTTTCGTGTGTGTGTGTGTGTGTGTGTGTGTGTGTGTGTGTGTGTGTGTGTGTGTGTGTGTGTGTGTGTGTGT